TCCAGCACGGGTTTGTAGAGGAAGAAAGAGAAATTTGCCTCACAAGCACAGCCCAGAAGAATAAATTCCATAAAATTTAACTTTCCTTTAGCAGGGGAAGGAGCAAAATAACTCTGAGTGTTCCAAAGGGTTTCCCACCCAAAGGGCTTCCCACCATCACTCAAATCCCAATTTTTGCTCATCCGGGGCCAGCACAGGTTTGTAGAAGAAGGAAGTGAAATTTCCCTCACAAGCACAGCCCAGAATAATAAATTCCATAAAATTTAACTCTCCTTTAGCAGGGGAAGGTGCAATGCAGTGGAGGATCTCAGGGAATTCCTTGATTTTATGATTCTCCAAAATAACTCGGAGTGTTTCAAAGGTTTCCCACCTAAAGGGCTTCCCACCATCACTCAAATCCCAATTTTTGCTCCTCCAGGTCCAGCAGAGGTTTATAGAAGAAGGAAGAGAAATTTTCTTCACAAGCACAGCCCAGAAAGAATAAATTCCATAAAAATCAATTCTCCTTTAGCAGGGGAAGGTGCAATGCAGTGGAGGATCTCAGCGAATTTCACGATTTTATGATTTCCAAAACACCTCTGAGCACTCAAAGGGCTTCTCACCATCACTCAAATCCCAATTTTTGCTCATCCAGGGCCAACAGAGGTTTATAGAAGAAGGAAGTGAAATTTCCTTCACAAGCACAGCCTAGAAAAATAAATTCCTTAAAAGTCAATTACCCTTTAGCAGGGGAAGGTGTGAGGCAGTGGAGGATCTCAGGGAAATCTGCGATTTTATGATTTCCACAATAACACTGAGTGTTCCAAAGGGTTTCCCACCCAATGGGCTTCTCACCATCACTCAAATCCCAATTTTTGCTCATCCAGGGCCAGCAGAGGTTTGTAGAAGAAGGAAGAGAAACTTCCCTCACAAGCACAGCCCAGAAAAATAAATTCCATAAAATTTAACTCTCCTTTAGCAGATGAAGGTGCAATGCAGTGGAGGATCTCAGGGAATTTCATAATTTTATGATTTCCAAAACACCTCTGAGCACTCAAAGGGCTTCCCACCATCACTCAAATCCCATTTTTTGCTAATCCAGGGCCAGCACAGGTTTATAGACGAAGAAAGTGAAATTTTCTTCACAAGCACAGCCCAGAAGAATAAATTCCATAAAATTTAACTCTCCTTTAGCAGGGAAGGTGCAATGCAGTGGAGGGTCTCAGGGAATTCTGTGATTTCATGATTTCCAAAACACCTCTGAGCACTCAAAAGGCTTCTCACCATCACTCAAATCCCAATTTTTGCTCCTCCAGGGCCAGCACAGGTTTGTAGAAGAAGAAAGTGAAATTTCCTTCACAAGCACAGGCCAGAAAAATAAATTCCTTAAAAGTCAATTACCCTTTAGCAGGGGAAGGTGCAAAGCAGTGGAGGGTCTCAGGGAATTTCATGATTTTATGATTCTCCAAAATAACTCTCAGTGTTCCAAAGGGCTTCCCACCATCACTCAAATCCCAATTTTTGCCCATCCAGGGCCAGCACAGGTTTGTAGAGGAAGGAAGAGAAACTTCCCTCACAAGCACAGCCCAGAAGAATAAATTCCATAAAAATCAATTCTCCTTTAGCATGGGAAGGTGCAATGCAGTGGAGGATCTCAGGGAATTTCATGATTTTATGATTTCCAAAACACCTCTGAGCACTCAAAGGGCTTCCCACCATCACTCAAATCCCATTTTTTGCCCAATCCTATTTCTTTGCTGCTGCCAGGTGAATAAATGCCCTGAGCCATTGGAGCCCAGCCAGCAGTGGGGACTGCATGGCTCATGTTTGGCACAAAACACAACAATTCCRACAATAAAATCGATCCTATCCCGATAAACCACACACAGCTGCTCACTGAGGCCTTATCTCCACCCAGGGAGATTCCAAAGTGCTTCCAAGATTGTTTTCCACGGAACACAATCAGCTTTTCACACCCAGGAGGGGAAGATCAAGGTCCTGGACCCCACAGGAGTGCTCAGAACAAAGAGGWTCCCCTAAAGCTCCCCCTGAACCCCACAAATTCCTCACACAGGGAGCGTTGTCCTGAAAATCCTGGGGACATTGGGCTGGAGCATTCTCAGCAATGCCACGGGGAAGTTTTTAATTAAAGGGAAATCATAAAACATCAATGGCTTTTAATTGAAGGGAAAGCAGAGCAAAGTCCTTGCAATAACTGTGAAATAAATAACTGTGAAATCAGCACCTTCACACTTCCCTGGAGCAGAATTATCTGGTTGGTGCAAAAGAGGAATTGTGTKCATGGCCAGGAAMAAACTTCCATCTTCAGTGAACCCAYCCCKYTCACRTTTGTGACCAAAATTGAAGCAGAAATGCTCTTTTTGCCCCTAAAACAGGATCCAGACACAGACATGAGCTCGGTGAAGGCKCCTCCACATCGCAGATGTTTGAGGAACCTTTCACAAAGTTCTGCCTGGAAGTGGCTCACAACAAAACAAACCCCATTTCACTGCAGCCCTTTGCAGRCAGGTGCTTCAGATTTTACAGCATTTCATCTGTAGAGCAGGGGATTTCCTCTCAAACTCTGCCATTTCTCCTCTTGACCTCTTCATCCTTATTTTTCCCCCTTTTATGATGTCACCCACGTCACTAAATGGCTAAAAAAGGCCATTTTTGGGTCTCATCCTTGGAGCATTTTGAGCATCTCCACTTTGCTCAGCAGCGCACACAGAGACCTCAGAAAAATTTTAGTGCACTCATTTTCAACTCTGCACATCAATATATGAAAAAAAAAAATTAAACTTTAAAAGAAGAGCAAAGGCTGATCGAGCTGCAAGCTGCAAAACAACWTCATTAAAGTAAATTCAAGCTGGAGGTGGAGAAAGAGAAAATTTCCAGCATCACAATCTGAGGTACGTGAGCATCAATTTGCCCTTCAAATACTGATTTGGGCTGTTGTAGAGTGATTATTGGAGATAAGTTCAAGAGATTTCACCCACAGGATGTAACAGCTCTGAAATTTAACGTAATTATTTCTACAGAAATAAAAACAGTGATTTATGGTGATTTTTCTCTTTTTAAGGTAGCCTGCCTTTATTTTTTTTCTTTTTAAAGCTATAAATTAAATTAGAGGCCTTGTTGGCCAAGAACACATGAAAAAAAAAAGATGGGCAGCTTCTCCTAGTGTTTCTTGAGCTGAAATTAAAAAAAATGAAAAAGAGAAGGGAAGGGAGAGGAGAGAAGGGAGAAGGGGAAAAAGGAGAATGGAAAAAGGGAGAAGGGAAAGGGGAGAAGGGAAAGGGGGAAAGGGGAAAGGGAGAAGGGAGAAGGGAAAAGGGATAAGGGGAGAAGGGAAAAGGAGAAAGTGGAGAAGAGAAAGGGAAAAAGGGGAAAGGGGGAAAGGGAAAAGGGAAAAGGGAAAAGGGAAAAGGGAAAAGGGAAAAGGAAAAAGGGAAATCTTGATGCCACAGCAGCCCCACAGGAGGTCCCTCAGACACCACGATCTCCTTTTTTCCCTTTGAAATTCCCCTATTTTGGGTCTGGGAGCCCCCGGGGAGGCAGCGCTGTGCTCTGAGCAATGCAGTGCTCACCACAACCTCTCTCTTTTGTTTGATATCACAGAAATTATCAAAACCCCATCCCCAGGGTGAGATTTGTGAGATTTTTGATGAGGGAGCTCTCGGGCATGGTGCTGMTGTTCCTTCTGGCAGCTCTGCTGCAAGGTGAGTCAAGCTGGAATTCCCAAGCTGGAATTGGGGCCACAAACCGTGTCCTTCTGGCCCCAAACCCTCCCTGGGACACCCAACACCTCCCYCTGAGGTGTGGAAACCAGTCCAGCCACCCCCCTGCCCAGGAAAACCCACAGGGAGCCAGCAAAGGTGCTGAGAGCAGGGGAGGATCCCAAATTTCCTGCAGAGAAAAATCCTCCTGGCTGGTGGGATCTGCTATGGGTTCATCCTCAGATGGGTTTGGGATCGGGGATTCAATATCAGCCTGAACCTGACCCTCCTGGCAGTGGGATCCCCTTAGGGTCCCTTTTGGATTTGGGATCAGATTTTGGGGTTCTACATCAGCCTGAATCTGACCCTCCTGGTGGGTGGGATCTCCTTTGGGTCCCTCCTGGGATGGTTTGGGATCAGGTTTTGGGGTTCTACATCAGAATCTGACCCTCCTGGAAGGGGAGATCTCCTTTAGATCCCTCCTGGGATGGGTTTGGGATCGGGGATTCAATATCAGCTGAATATCAGCTGTGACAGCCTGAACCTGACCCTCCTGGCAGGGGGTATCCCCTTTGGGTCATTTTTGGGTCCCTTTTGGATTTAGGATCAGGTTTTGGGTCCCACACCAGCCTGAACCTGACCCTCCTCGCGGGTGGGATCTTCTTTGGGTCCCTTTTGGATTTGGGATCAGGTTTTGGGGTTCTACATCAGCCTGAACCTGACCCTCCTGGCTGGGCGGATCCCCTTTGGGTCCCTTTTGGGTCCCTTTTGGATTTAGGATCAGGTTTTGGGGTTCCACATCAGCTGAACCTGACCCTCTTGGCAGGGGGGATCTCCCTTGGGTCCCTTTTGGGTTTGGGATCAGGTTTGGGGTTCTACATCAGCCTGAATCTGACCCTCCTGGCAGGTGTGATCTGCTTTGGGTTCCTTTTGAGTCCCTTTTGGATTTAGGATCAGGTTTGGGGTTCCACATCAGCCTGAATCTGACCCTCCTAGAAGGGGAGATCTTTAGATCCATCCTGGGATGGGTTTGGGATCAGGTTTGGGGTTCTACATCAGCCTGAACCTGACCCTCCTGGTGGGTGGGATCCCCTTTGGGTCCCTTTTGGGTCCCTTTTGGATTTGGGATCAGGTTTTGGGTCCCACATCAGCCTGAATCTGACCCTCCTGGCTGGTGGGATCTCCTTTGGGTCCCTCCTGGGATGGGTTTGGGATCAGGTGTTGGGGAATCCACGCACAGCAGAGGCTGCAGCTGTTCCCACCCCGCTCTGGAAATCAGATATTTATAAAATATAAAATATAAAATATAAAATATAAAATATAAAATAGAAAATAGAAAATAGAAAATAGAAAATAGAAAATAGAAAATAGAAAATATAGAATACAAAACATAAAACATAAAACATAAAATATAAATAAAAATATAAAATAGAAAACAGAAAATATAAAAATAAAACATAAAATAAATAGAAAATAAAAAATAGAAAATAAAAAATAAATAAATATTAAATAAATATAAAATATAAAATATAAAATATAAAATATAAAATATAAAATATAAAATAAAAAATAAAAAATAAAAAATAGAAAATATAAATTAAAATAGAAAATAGAAAACATAAATTATAAAAATATAACATAAAATAAATATAAAATAGAAAATATAAAATAAATAAAATAAATAAAATAAAAAATATAAAATAAATATAAAATATAAACCACCCAGACCTGGCCAATTCTGCTGCCCATGAATGGAAAAGGAAACTCTCTCCTGCCTGTTGGAATCCCCGGGGAGAAGGGTGCTGCGGGATCTGGCAGAGTTTGCAAATGCCAAAGTGTTTCTTTCCCCATTAATTTCTGCCCTTGAGCTTTAACCCCAGGGCTGAGGGGGTCTGGGTGTCCTGAAAGGGCCATCGAGGGTGTCCCCATGGGTGCCAGTGACACCAGTGCCCCTCCAGAGGTTAAAGTGGCACTGGGGAGGGTAACAAAACACATCCAAAATGGACATTTTCAGAGCCAGATA